TCAATAATTTGGAAAGGTCCCTAAGTGCAGATTGTCCCACTGCAATGCATTTCCTTATTTCCTGACTGCTCTGACCAAGGGTTTTAATTGTGGATCTGAGCAAGATGAAGCTGTTGACAGTTTCCATCTCCTCTCCATCTATCATGACACCAGCAATAAGAAAACAAAGATTCTTACCACTGAACCAATAGGCAGTACCATGACGGATGATAGATCCATATGGTAGACTAATATCCTCAATAAAAGAGACCACGCTCTCATACATGTTATGATGGGGATGAACTTAAAAAACATTCTGAGTGAAAGCCAGACTAGTGTATCAGAGTGGTTGCTTAAGTGGAAAGAAGGAGAATTACTGCTAACAGTTACAGGATTTCTTTTAGGATGGTGACAATGTTCTCAGGTTAGGCAGTGGTTTTTGTTACACAACCTTGAACCTAAGAAAAACCATTGTTAAAGGGTCACTTGTGTGGTATGGGAAAACTATTTTTATCTTAATAAAGCTGTATTTAAGATCAGCTTTTCTTTCTCTGTAAGAGAGAAAATGAATTGAAAATTAACCACATACAAAAAAAGGATCTGCAGGGAGGTGGAAAGAAGTGCTACAAACTAGTTAGTGTATCTGGCTGGGTCTTGGGCTTAAGAGGGGGGGGGGAAGTCTATGCTGAAGAGTCAAGATCCCACTGCTTTGTTGCCCAGCTGACAGAGGTTCTGACTGGTTCTTTTGTTCTGCAACTTGTTTTGAAAATAGATCTCCCTTTTGGATCCTACAAAGCTGCAAAATAGAGTTTCCAGGGAGCCTGCAAAGAGGCTAGGAAGTCACAGTTACTTGTGCTTAAGCAGGCTGTCACTGTCACTTCACTGGCAAATTGGCAGCGACACCCTGAAAGGGGTAAGCGCAACAGAGATACGCCACTCCAGGAGAGGATCAGAGAGTCAATCCAGCTCAATTTTATTGGGATCTGCAGTGCACTTATATACAAGCATGTAAACAGGAAAACAGGATAGGGTGGGTTTACAGACGTGGGACATGCAGATTGGTTAGGAGAACCTCAGCCTCATGTGGACCACTCCCAGCTCAACAGATGCAGCAGCCGTCTTCCCAGGTGATGAGCTTTCTCAAGCCGGTATGGCCAAACCCAGGGGAGTTTTCTCTACCCCATATTAAAGGCCATTAGGAGGCTTGCACTTATCTGGAGCTTAGGCGATCTGTCCTGGCCAGAGGCCTTCCCTTCCTCCCCAACATTCTGCAACAGCAGGCTAATTAGGATGGTTTGTTCCATACCATTCTTACTACTTATAAATTTTGTCGCCCATAGAATATCAGAGGCACCTACATGGCTATTCGTATGTAGTGTTATGTCTAGAAGTGTCTGTACCAGGAGCCTGCAGATAAGTGATTTCTGAGCAAGGCCTTTATCTCTCTAAGTTTCTTATTCTTTCTCAGTAAAACAGGAAAAGCATTGCCCGTCTCATCAGGCTTGTTACCTGTGGCCAAGCCTGTGAATCGGCTTTATAAATCCTGTGGGTGTTCAGCTTTCCTGGAATGTTGGACTAGAGCAATTCTATAGGACTGTTACTGAACACCAGGGATTCTTTCTGTAGTCAGTTGCCAATAAAACGGATTGCAATATCCAAAGAACTTTATTGCAGATCTGGGAGAGCAGTGAGAGTCATCTCAAAAACTTGCTTCCCGTGTAAGAGTGGTAATTAGTTTTTATACTTGAGCTAGGTGTTACAGTTCCTAGTAAACAAATAGCTTGTGATATAGTTTATATATGACTGAGAAAGATGTCTTCAAAGAGATCAATATTAATTGCACATGACTTGAGAAAAATATGTTTAAATATATTTAAAGAGATAAAAACTAGTTCAAATACATGTAACTGAGGAAAAAAAAGTCTTCAAAAAGATAAAGGCTGACTTAATTATGTGTAACTGTAAAAAAATCTTCAAAGATGTAAGTACTAATCCAGAAAAGAATTACATACAAATGAGAAAAACAGTTTCAAAGAGGTGAATATTAATTCTGGAAAGATGCATTTTTCTTCCTGGTAAACAAACAGTTCAAAGTACTTTCCATGACTAAAGAAAGAAAAATAGAGTTTTAGGGCAAACAACCACTTTTACAGGCTGGAGGCAATTGATGTTAGCTTACAATTATACCATATGTTTAAATAATCCTGAATGTTTTAATACTACTCTATCAGGACTGAGCTAATGATTTAGCTTTGAAAGGTTTAGGTTTGAAAGCTGAAAGAAGCACATTTGGTGCTAGAGAAAGGTGAGAACTCAGGTAGAGGAGTTTTGTCAGGAAGGAAGGGAGGTAGAAGATTGGAAGCTGGGATAATTGACTGTTGTGGAAGGGCACCAATTGATAGTTCTCTTTCATTGGCTGAAAGACCAACAGGCGTGCTGTAATTCGGAGAGCAGAGTAATTTAATTTTAGTTATACAGGAGAAAAATGTGCTGATATCCCATCAAGATCCTGGCAGAGAACAGATCCAGTGCACAGAACCCCTCTCTTGTAAACATCTATGATCAACCATTACATGTTCCAGATTCTTGAGTCTTACAATACTCCTGGAGAGCTAAAAGGTGGAAACATCATTTTCTATAGCATTAGATTGTCTTGTATACTGTGGGCATGTTGTCAAGAGGGATAAGTTCTTGGAAGAAAGCATTATACTAGGAACTGTAGAAGTTTAGGGAGAGAGAGGAAGATTCAAGAAGATTGCCGCTGTGACTAACAATGGTCTAAATAATAACCAAGATCATAAGGATGGTACAGGACAGTGCAAGGTGCAGATCTGCTGTTCACAGCTATAGTCAACTCCATAGCACTGAGCAACAAGATCAAGAAGCTGATTTTATATTTCTAAAAAACATTTTAAGTATTTGTTTTTAAAATGTATCTCTAAATGTTGTTGTGTTATTATGTGCCGTCGAGTCGCTTGCCACTCATAGTGACCCTATGTACAACAGCCCTAAACTCTGCTCTGTCCTGTGCCAATCGCACTGTCTCAAATACACCCATCCCGATTACCCAAATCACCGAATCAATCCACCTCCTAGAGGGCCTTCCCCTCCTGCGCTGTCCCTCCACCCTACCAAGCATGATGTCCCTCTCCAAGGACCGGTCCCTCCTTACAACATGTCCAAAGTAGATGGAGCCTCAGAATACTTGCCTCCAAGTAGCCACCCAGTTTGACCCTTTCCAGGATGAATCTGTTTGTTTTCCTAGCAGTCCATGGTACCCTCAATACTCTATTTAGAAATATATTTTAGATTAACATAATCCTGAAGAATGTTACCATAAATTCATTTTGATCCAATGAATGGAAATTTTAAATCTAGTGACAAAGCATTTGCAGGTATTTTTTGGTCATTGTTTATGGTCATTAATTTATTCTTTTTTTAAAAAAAAGTGAATTCTTTTCATTTTATCCAATAAAAGCATTTAGTGTGTGCTTCCTTTTTTAATTGTTATTTGCATGAGAGATGTCAAAACAAATTAATTTTCCATTCAACTATTTATACATGTTTCATTCTACGAAATTAATTTTAACACTCACAATGTAATTACCCTTTCTGGCTTTCGCCCTGTAATTCTGATTCCCATTAATCCTTCTATACCTCTGTGTGTCTTCCCTTTCTTTAATGGTATTGTGCTAATCATCTACATTCCCTCTCTTAGCCAGTGGTCTATTTTTAGTGTAAATTAAAGATGAAAAACAATTTAGAAATATGGAAGTGTAAAAGCATCCTAACATCTAATAACCACACCTCTCTGCTGTACTCATGAGCACCCACTCTCCTTCGATAAACACTCACAGCCCTTGGGTAATTCTATGGAAGTTAGGAGAATATTTATTTTAGTTCACTAAGGGTGCTCTGGTGGCCTAGTGGTAAGAAGCTGCACTGCCATCCCTAAGGCATGCAGTTAGAATCCATCAGCTGCTCCACAGGAGAAAGATGGCCATCCTCCTCCCATCCAATTTACTGCCTCTGAAAACCGGCTGGAGGGTCAGCTGTGGGTCAGTTCTGGCTCAATGGCAAACAACAAGAAAAAGAACAATTTTAAGGTGCACATTTTTCACATTTTACTCTCCCTGAAATTGTGATTGATATGTCTTATGGTCAGTGGCATCTTATTTATTCTTTCTTAAAGGGAGGTACAGCTTATAATCAATGTTGTCTTAGATTTGATGAAATAGACAGTAAATTATATTATCATTAAATTCCTGTCTACCCTTTAGTGTACATGTTGAGTAATTCCATGTTTACCTTGTATCACATCCAGATGCTTACATCTCACTTTCCTTCACCAACAGAACTTTTTTTTTTTAGGTTTTTACAAGCAGATCTTCCATCCACAGATCTTTGACTTTGAAGCTTGTGGAGGAACTTCCCTCCTTTCTCCATTCCACCAATCATCAATTTCAGTCACTCTACCTCTTCTGGAATCCATGTAAATATCACCTCACTCTACCCAGAGAGACTGGTGTCTGATGGTGTTTCTAGGAAGAAAAGGGAGAGAAAGCATTCCTTAGCCTACCTTTGATCAATTATTTCCTTACCCTTCCTGAAGAGGAATGACCACGGGTTTTCCATATGTCCATTTTGCCTGTCTCCAGGGCTTCACCTTAGGCAAGTACTTTTGCTCTCATTACCTGAAGGCCATCTTTGTCCAAGATGGACAGTGTTATCTAGTAGGATCCGTTCTCCAACAACATGAGTGACCAAGTCAAGAGTAACCAAGAGCGGTATCAGCAATATTCTGCCATAGCCTCTCAGCTTCTGGCCCACATCTCTAAACTCCTCATGGCCCATCGGAGGGCACGCATCCCTGTGCATAAGGGCATTAGATATTTCTTTGAGTTTACCTGGGAAGAGCTCATCACAGATCCCATGATGCTACCTTCTGACATCTTGGGTCTGGAGATCAATTTGGGGGCCCCTCCTGTGCCTGTGCAGTTGCCTCCTGTGCAGATACCCATTCAGAAGAAATTGCCACCTTCAAGGTCAGCGCGAGCATCCAGTGGTGCAGCCAAGCCCATCAGTCTCTCTCCTACCCAGACACATGCAGTTATCAATGGCCAAGAGACTCTGCATAAGTTTCAAAGGCAGTCAGTTCGCCTACTGACAGAGTTCCTCATTCTGCAAACAAAGGCCCTGAAGAAACATGTATCAGGTAAGCCTGACTCATTGAATTCTGGAAAATTCTGGTGATGTGCATTGCATGCGTGTGTCTACCAGCTATATTTGGATGAACTGGAAACAGATGGTGATTGCCTACCAGTTCTAGGAATTTACTTCTACCACTCATATCTTGGAGAGGGTGCAGCTAGAGCGCTCTTTGGAGGCAAGAATGAGGAGGCTTCACCTCACATATTTTGGACATGTTGTTAGGAAGGGGCTATCCTTTGGAGAAGAACATGATGTTGAGAAGGGTGAAGGGTCAGTAAAGGGCGTGAAGACGCTCAACCAGCTAGTTAGATTGGTGCAGTGACTGCTACAGTGGGATCTTGTGTGTTAGGAAGTGTGAGGCTGGTGCAGGATTCAGACATTTTGTTCATAGGGTTCTATGAGTCATACTCAGCTTGACGGCAACTAACAACAAAACAGTCACTTCCAAGAATAATACTTAACCCTAGCTCTTCTCCCACTTTTCTTTCCATTTTTCCTTTGGAGAGCCCAGAGTGGGAGGTTAGCCATTGTCTTTGTTTTCTGGAACCGTCACAGGAGAATACCACAAAGCAGGTCACTTGAAGTAACAGAAATGTGCTGTCTCACACGGTTCTGAAGGTTGGAATTGAGGACATTGTTGCGGCTGTCCTGTTTACTTGAGGGAAAGAGCCTTCCTCTCTGCTTCTGGTATTTGTGTACTTCTCTTGGATTCCTTTGACTTGTAGATGCATTTTCATAAGTACCTTCTCCCGTGTGAACTCTGCATCCCTTTTATAAAGGAAGACACTACTAGGAAGAGACTAGGCCTACCCTCCTCTGAATGACCTTGTTAATGGAAATTATAGTATCTTCAGGAAATGGGCCTGTATCTAACGATGGTCATGTTCATAGGGACAGAATTTAGGAATTCATCATATCTGTTTGAGGGGCACAAATCCATCCATAACAGCAAAGAGCAGTATAAGATCAGAGGTATTGAAGGGGGACTTGATTACCTGAGGAAGAGAGAGGCAGAACCCAGGGGACAAAGTGTGGTTCAGGAAGGCCTAGTGATAGATACCAAGATGAAAGCCCCACAAACCCCAACCAAGAGAGCCATGAGCATCAGGTTCCAAAGTGAGATTTTCATTCTGAGGTCAATGCTGGGACCGAGAGTAATGTTAGTAACTAAGCCTTCAGGATGCTGTGTTACTGAGTGTCAGTAATGCAACCTTCTTGATCCTGTAGTATTTTAGACACCAACGGGCCTCTGAGTTGGAGTAGAAAAGGGTAACGGGGCTCAGAGAGCACAGGTCCCCTTATTGCCTGGAGAGTTTGAGGTTCCCTGATAGACCTGGAGAGTTTGACCCCTTTTCACTAGGAGGTCCCACAGACTTTCTTACTCTGGAAATAGGTCTAACCTATAGATCTACCCTATACCCTGGGTCCTTTAAGGAGGTGCTTTTTAAAATATGCACTAATTCTGTGCCAGTTGGAACATATGTTGTCTTTAATGATTTCTTTAGTAGGTGCCAAATTCAAGGACAATACAAGACACTTTGTGGAGGCCAGCCAACAGCTCCATCTCAATGCCAAGAAAACAGCCTCTGACTACTTCACTGGTAAAATTGTAAGAAATAGTGGACAACTGGGAAAAGGTAGGTACTGAGTATCAGCTCTTAAGAAGTTTTTTTTAAAAAAAGTTCAAATCATACCAACAAGAATGCAGTGAAAAGTAAATTCCTTGTTTATAAGTCTCCCATTTCCTAATCGAAGTGGAAGTTGAGCAACAGGAACTTTCAAATACTATAGGGAAATGTATACATTGGATCAGTTAGTTACTATGGAGCATGATTTAGGAATTTCTATTACATGGATAAGTAAAAATGAATAATTCTTGAATATCAGTGAATAAGGACAAAAGCAGAAGAATTGATGCATTTGAATTGTGGTGTTGGAGAATATTGAATACCCCATGGACTGTCAAAAGAATAAGCATGTATGTCTTGGAAAATATGAAGTCAGAGTAATCCTTGGAGGTAAGAATGGCAAAACTGCATCTTTCATACTTTGTACATGTTGCCAGAAAAGGCTCTTCCTTAGAAAGAGATATCATGCTTGGAACTATAGAGGGTCAGTCAAAGAGAGGAAGATCCCAGCAAGACGGATTGACTTGGTGACTACAGCCATGGCTCTAATGTGCCAGAGATGGCTAGGGTGGCATAGAATACAACAGGAATCAGATCTGTTGTTCGCAGGGTCCCTATGAGTTGTACTTTACTTGACAGCACCTAACAACAACAAATTAAATGTTGGACTTTGGTGATCTATATTAGATGAAAGAGGGAGGTCTGGTGGCCTCTTGGAAGAAGCTGCTCCAGCATCCCAAAAGCATGCAGCTTGAATTCACCAACTGTTCCATAGAAGAAAGATGAGCAGTCTCCTCTCTTGTGATTTACTGCCTCTGAACACTGATGTGAGGGTCAGCTCTGAGCTGGTTCTGATTCATCAGTACATAACAATAACGACAACAGTCACATTAGATGAAAGATGTTTATACCTTACAACCAAGCAGTCTCTGCTTGGTCACTCTTTAGAACTGTGCAACTCAAACTGTTACTAGTGAAGGACCGATGTTTTACATTTTCAATTTGTTGTGGACCTATCCTTCTAAAAGTACAATAGAAATATAGCAGTGTCAGTTTGCTACAGATGTGCCTAACTTCCTACTTTCCGTTTTTGTGCTTAGTTGGTCCTGGGCTCCTGAGGTCAGTCTGCAGACACACTTAGAGCACTGCCTGAGGGCAGCTCATACGTGGACAGAAGGAGTGGGATACCGGTGTTTATGCAGAATTGCTTAGGATGAGAAAAAAATGTTTACAAACCATTTAAATGTCCATTGTTGTTGTTGTTGTTATGTGCCGTCGAGTCCTTTGCAACTCATAGCGACCCTATGTACAACAGCCCTAAACCCTGCTCTATCCTGTGCCAATCTCATTGCCTCTGACACACCCATCCCGATTACCCCAGTCACTGAATCAATCCACCTCGTAGAGGGTCTTCCCCTCCTGCGCTGTCCCTCCACTCTACCCAGCATGATGTCCCTCTCTAAAGACCTGTCTCTCCTTACAACATGTCCAAAGTATGTCAGGCAAAGCCCCAGAATCCTTGCCTCCAAGGAGCAGCCTGGTTTAACCCTCTCTAGGATGAATCTGTTTGTTTTCTTGGCAGTCCATGGTACATTCAATACTCTTCTCCAGCACTACAATTGTGGTGTAGTGGTAAGAAGCTGTGCTTCAATCCCAAAGGTTCAAAGGTTCAAATCCACCAGCTGCTCCATGGGAGAAGGATGGTCACTCTCCTCCTGTGCGATTAACCCACTGAAGGGTCAGCTATGAGTCAATTTTGACTTGATGGCTCACAACATGAATATTATCATTTGATTAGATGGTGAGCTATTTTGATGTTGCTAATTGCTGTTAACTTGAATACAACTCTTAGTGATGTTATGAGCAACAGATCTGAACCTTGCACTATCCTCTGCTTTCCTCATACTTGAGCCCATTGTTATAACCACTGTATCCAATCTCTTGCTGAGGATCTTCCTATCTTTCTCTGACCTTCCACCTTTCCAAGCATGAATGTCCTTTCCAAAGACTGGGCCCTCCAAACAACATGCCCAAAATAGATGAAATTAATCTTCATCATCCTTTCCTCCAAGGAGCACTCTGGTTGCACTTTCTTCAAGATATACTTGTTAGTTCTTTTGCAAGTCCATGTGATACTCAGTACTATTATCCGATACCACAATTCAAAGGCACCTATTCTTCTCCTGCCATCCTTAGTCTTTGTCTAACTTGCATATGCATAACAAGTAATTTAAAAAATCATGGCTTGAATCAGAAGCGCCTTAGTCTTTAAACTGACATCATTGCTCATTAGTACTTTAGAGAGGTCCTTGACTGCTACTTACATTTTTTTACTTTATTTTTTCTGTTTTACTTTGTGGTTTTATTTTTTAATTCTTTTTTTATTATTTTTATTAATTTCAATGAACATCTACAGAGATTTTGGAATTCCATTCATTCATTGTTGCACTTTTCTCCCCACCCATCCCACCCCCATCTTTTGACTTTTTTGACTGTTAATACCAAGAATATTGATCTGAGTAAGATAAAGTCATTGACAACGTCAATTTTTTCCCCATATACCATGATGTTTCCTGCTGGCCCAATGGTGAAAAATTTTGTTTAGTTGATGTTGAAATATAATCCATATTGAAGGCTGTAGCCTTTGATCTTCTGCACTATGTGCTTCAAGTTCTCCTTGCTTTTGAAAAGCAAGATTGTGCCATCTGTATAAAGCAGGTCGTTGATGAGTCTTCCTTTGATACAAATGCCACACTCTTCTTCATAATGTCCACCCTCTTAAATGGTTTCATCAGCATATAGTTGGGAAAAGGTTACAGCCCTGACACACAATTTCTTGATTTTAAGTCATGCAATGTCCACTCCCTTGTTTCTTGGCCTAAGTATAGGTTTCACATGAGCACAAATAAATGTTCTGGAATTCCTATTCTTTTTTTTTTCATTCTATTCCTTTTTTAAAAAATAATTTTAATGAACATTTGCAGAGAATTTGGATTTCCATTCATTCATTGTTGCACTTCTCTCCCCACCCAACCCTCTCCTCCCGCCCCCCAGTTCGCTCCTCTCTTTCAAAAGTAAAAGAAAGACTCCCTCCCTGGTACACAATCTCCCCGCACCCCTCCCACCACCCCAAGTACATTCCAGTATGCAACCTTAATTGTGGACTCTTGTGATAACCATAATACCCTATCATACATCACTTTTAAATTATTCAGTCCCTCATCTGTTTCAGTGCAATTTATCCAGTTTTTCTCAGTCTTACCCCCCACCCTGATATCAGTCCCATTTTACAGCAGTGGCATCAAGCAATATTTGTCCTTTTGTGACTGAGATATTTCACTCAGCATAATGTCCTCCAGGCTCACCCACTTTGAATAATATTGAATTAGTTCCTTGTTTTTCAATGCATCATAGTATTCCATTGTGTAAATATACCACAGCTTCTCTACCCATTCATTTGTTGATGGGCACCTGGGTTGTTTCCAACTCCTTGCTATTATGAACAGAGCTGCAATAAACATGGGTGTGCATATATCTGCTTGGATGTCAGTTATGGTCTCTCTGGGATATATTCCCAGTAGTAGAATTGCTGGGTCAAATGGTATCTCTATTTGCAACTTTTATTCTTATTCTTCTTAATGTTAACCATATCTGTTATGATCTACACATTCAAATGCCTTTGTATAGCAAATAGAACACAAATAGGCATTAATTCTGATATTCTCTTCTTTCAACCAAGATTTCATTTGATATCAGCAATTATATCACTAGTGCTATAGCCCCTTCTAAATCTAAATTGACTTTTGTAAGTTCTCTGTCAATGCACTGTTTCTGTAATTTTTTATAATCTTGAGCAAGACACTACTTGCATGTGATATTAATTATATTGCTTGATCATGCCACATTCTGTTGGATCACTTTTTTTGGAAATGGGAGCATACATAGATATATTTCAGTCAGTTGATCAGGAGGCTATCTTCCAAATTCCTTAGCACAGACTGGTGAGCACATCTGTCCATTGAAACATGTTAATTAGTATCCCATCAGTTTCTAGGGCTTTTTTTTTTTGCCAGTGCCTTCAGTTCAGCTTGAATTTCTCTCTTCATTATCATTGGTTCCTTTTCACATATTACTTCCTAAAATGATTCCATATCAGCCAATTCTTTTTTGTTACAGTGACTTTATGTATTTCCGCCATCTTCTTTTGATGCTTCCTGAATCATTCAAGATTTTGAACATAGCATCCTTCAGTATTGTAACTTGAGACTTGAATTGGTGAAAATGTATGACATACTAGAGCACACATTTCAATTCAGACACTTTTTTAAAGTACAGTGTTGAGGAAAAAAGCAAGCTATAAAGGAATATTTGACACGAACACAGCTTAAATCCGTTTTGAGGCTAAGGCTTTCTTGGGGACCATTTGGGGACCCTTGTATCTGTGACTGTGGGGCCATCCCAGGGGCCAAATAGGACATAGTGAGCATAGATCAATGGTGATTAATTTTATAAGACGTAATGTATGGGAATGAGCACATGAAACAAATGTGAATGAAGGAATGTATGAAATAGAATGTATATGAATGGGGGGAAACCTTTTAGTGCAAAAAAAAAAAGAGTACATTAGTGCTTAATTTTGTATAGTGATTGTCTTTCTTGACACTCCATCAAAATAGTTTTTTTATTGTGATCTTACATGTTGCAACAGCCCCACTAGGACATATGTTTGGCAAAGCTGTGTTTGCTGTAGGTTTTTAATATTATCAAGGAATTATTCTCACATGTAATAAGTGATAAGTAATAAGTAAAGTCACTATCCAAGTTTGTAAAGAATTCCACAGTTAGTACTTATTGTCCTGTTGTAACTACCAATCAGTTCCACTTTCTATATAAACATTTTCTTTTGGGGGCAATATATTACCCAGTCATTCTGAGTTTTAAATAATTTTTCATTTCATACTTCTACTATCTGTTCCAGGCACATGTGTTAATTATACTTCACTAGCTAGACCCATTTTTGCCATTCTGGAGCAAGGAAGACTTGAAATAGACAGGCTCCAGGAGTTGGACCAACTCCCAGTGAGAATAGCAGCTGCATCTGAGACACTGAGGAAGAGACCTGGGGGTATGTGGATGTCATGCCTAGTCAGAGCAAGAAGCTGTAGTAAGCACAGGACTCTGGCCTCTAGGGCCAGGCCAGACGTGAGGGCTCAGGCCTGCACATAGATCAGGGATGTCAGTCAGCAGGTGTATTGGCCTCAAGTCTTGGCTTAAGCTTAGAACCAAAAGTGGTAGAAAGGACCAGAAAGTGACTAGAGAGATTGATACCAGCGGCAATTTCCAAGTATCAGCCAGAAACTCCACGTGTTTCTGCACAGGTAAAGGTCCATAGGATTCAGATGGAGCCTAAGAGTGTCCCAACCTGAAGCCAGGTTTCATTCCTGAGAAGAAGGTAAAGTTGGGCCTACTGATGGTGACGGAGATCGGAAGACTGCAAGTTGATAAGATGGCTGAGGTTAGAGGCAGACGGGACCTGAAACATGTCCCAGATAGAGGTTTCTGCAGCCTCGGTCATTCAAAGATCACCTGTACAGCTTTGTTTTTTAGTATATCCCTCAGACCACCTAATCTGGGATAAGAGCAAAAATAAGGACCCAGAGTACAAGCCATCGTCATCTAATCTTAATTGATGCATACAGCTCAGTGCAGAATGCTGTGAGCTCAGCCAGTGGTAAAGCTAATTTAGACTAAACAGAAGGTTGATTTTTTTTTTCTCCCGCTTTAATCAGAAGCATTAAAAGGGGTTCTAGCCCCAGGAAGCATAAAAATATGACTTTAGAAAGATGCTTTCCTACCATCTGTCTTGTCCTCACTAACCCCTAAGTGATTATGTCAGCTTAAGAAAACCATTTCCTAAAGCCTTTCTCAACATCTCTGCAATACAGGCAGACCCAAAACTGTGGAAGACAAATCCCCATCCATAGTACGTGCACTCGTAGCTTCTCCCTCTCACGGTTTGGAGTTGAGTAACCCTTGCCCGGAGGCTTGGGAGAAGATCCAGGAGATATGTCACCATATGTAAGCACCCTAGAGGTTGGGGTAGCCTGGTGTCCTCACAGCCTCCTTCCCCCCATGCCTACACTGAAATGGGTTAGGCAAGGAGTGGGCTGGTTGCTAATAGCCATTTATTCAGGAGACTAGCTTGGTATCATGCCAAGAGGTGCTAACCTCTTAATCATCGCAACAGTGATGATGGTGATGGTGACACTTCTTTTTTCACACACTCACAAGTTCCCCACACCCTTTCCCCTCCATTGCCTTGCTATATTCTAATTCAGAGAACTGCTTTGCAGTCAAGGAAACATAAGCAGCTCAGGTCAATAAGTTATCGTCTGAAATAAGACAGGCCTGGCTGTGTGATTCATGGCAGACTGGCTTCAAGTGCAGTGGTCTTTGCCCCTTTAGCATGTGGCCTGCCTCATTGAGGTCCCTCTGAAAGATCCTTTTTAGTTTAAAGATTTTGTGTGCCTAGTTTTTATTTTATAACAAAATTAGTCATATGTTCTACTTTTGTAGAAGCACTTACTTATTAATAGTTAACTTCTCAAAACAAGAGAAAAGGCCATTTACATTGATTATTAATAACTCTTCACATTATGAGTATCTCATAAGTTCTAGCAGTAAATCTGTATTTCTCCAGGGTCTCAGACCATGGAGGAACTAAAGAATATGGTCAGCTACTGTCTGAGTCATCATATCTCATGATATGAAGGTAACTGTGCCACCAGATGTTACACTGCAGATAAAGAGCATATGCAAAGGGAACTCACGCTGCCTCCCTCATGTCATCCTGTGAGGAGGTGTTCATGAGAACTAGGATGAGTACAATCTCTAGGTCACCTAATCTCCCCATTTTTATAGAGTTCCACATGCTGGTCCTCACCCCTGTGATAAAGGAAGAAATCGGGCGTCAGGCAAGGACCTGGTGGTTGAGAGATGCCACGTCTCTCTCGCTCCTCCTTAAGAGCATTTCTTTGAGGAGAGAAGAGTGGAGTGGATACCTCTGAGAAAAGGGGAGGCGATGGGAGTCTGGGGAGCTAGAAGATATGTTTGTTCCCTTCCCTGCAGAGAAGCTGAAAGGGCCACGTGGAGCAGAAGGAATATCTCCTACCCAGTGATATTGCGAAACTACAAGACTAAGATACCCATTCATCTATTGGTAAGTGTCAAGTGGGATTTGAGGGCTCAACAAATTCAATCCTCGAGTTCCAACCACCTTCAAATTTAGGGTGTTCATATACCGACTCCCACCACCCATCAGACTTCTGCTCACCACAATCTTGATGGTCACCGTTCTCAGAAGTCGAGAAGAGCCAAGAAGACTATCAAATTGCATTACACCTCCTGTGACGGGTCCTCTTTTGTTTAGTATCCTTTTTTGGTGCCTCCTTTATCTACAGTGACTCTTGAGACCCTGCTACCCTCAAGTCAAAGAAACCAAACTAGTTGAGTTGACCTATAAGTGTCAGAGTAGCACTGTGGTTATAGGATTTTCAATAGCTAATTTTTAGAAGTAGATTGTCAGGCATTCCTTGTGAGACACCTCTAGGTGATCTTGAACCTCCAACCTTCTGGTTGGCAGGCAAGTGCTTAACTGTGCTATCCAGGGACTCTCTTGGAGCTCCAGGACTTGAAAATGTCTTAAGTATGAATTTTGGCTTTTTAGTTGATTGGAGAAGCTTAGTGATAGGCCTTCAGGGTATTAAGAGTTTGTTGTAAGTCAGAGTCAGCAGAGGCAGAGGCAAAAGTACCAAGTTTCAGAGCCCAAGTTCCCTTCGCTCCAGATCAGTATGCATTTACCAAGCCCCTACTACATGTTAGTAATCTGTCAGTGTCTGGGAATATGCTAGTCCCTCACCATACAGATGGGCCAGGTGATAAAAAGTTGAAGACAGAGAACAATTCAGCATTAGCAGAAAAAAGAAGACTTTTTCATTGTCATTAGATGTCATGGAGGTATCTCCAGCTCATAGTATGACACGTGGAAACCTTGTCTGATCCCAAACTTCCACTGTCCTCTCCTCAGTGCTTAGTCCCCATACCCGTACTCTTTGCCTACTTCACCCTAAAGGCTTGCATATTTGGAGTGTGAGCCCTCATTTGTCATGTTCCTAGCCTGCTCCCCAGCTTAGACTTGTCTGTGTGTTCATGAACACATGTCTAGCTAGGTCCCAACCTCAAAGGTTCTCTTTGAGAAAGAATCTGATCAAACTATAGAGCTTTCCCTCCCTAAGTACGTACATAAACATATAAAATGTTGCCTGTGGTAATACAAACCAACAAAGTCGGTCTATGGATCTGGCTCTTGAGAGCTCTAGGCTTAGGGAAAATGTGGCTTCTAAAAGGCCTTTGAAGTGTGAACCTCATAGGCTCATGCATGGGTCAGAGTAAATTGAGTCAGATTGCCTTTGTTCAATCACATATATTTATTAAGTATCTCTTATGTGCAATGAATTAATAGAATGAAATGAATAGCTTAGCAGAAACAATTTTAGTTAGATTACTTTCTTCACAAAGGAAATTTAGCTGGTGAAGGTTAGAGAGAGAGAGAGCTTCCTTGGAGAATGTCTCTATGGGTAGTGACAGGTCAGGACATCCCCTTGCTGCACCCCCAGTCCCATACTCTTTTCAGGGGCCCTATTGCCCACTTCCCAGCATGCACTAGTGTTGGGCCAAACTCCAGATCCCAAATCCCCTTGCCAATGCTAAGGCTCACCAGAGCTTAGTGTTTCAGGTCACACAGTCATAGTTATATGAAATGCCGAAGATGGGAGACACAAACCCATACATTCTCAGTTTCCCTTTGTAGATGTAGGGAAGCAGACCTGAAGGGGCGGTATGGCTTACTCAGTGTCACAAAAGGAATTTGGTGGCAGATTGAGGGTTTCGTTCAGTGCTTACTTCTATTGAACAAGCACCATTTTTGTGCCATTTAGGATGACTTCCTTCAGCAGAGAGCAGAAGTGGACGGGGACCCATTTTACTAAGAACCTCTCCAGGCACTGAGGACTCCTTTTCTTGTCTTCACCCAAAGATACAAATTTTTAAATATATATATTTTTTTATTTATTTACAACGTTTGAATACATTATTTTTCACACCATATTTTTCCCATTTCCTTCACCACCCCACCCATCAAAGTGTACAACTGTATGATTAATGCCACCCCACCTCGCCCAGGCTCACCCCTCTGCCTCTCTCTATCCCCCCTTGGATCCTCATACTCATTCTACAACAATTATTTTAAACAGTGTTTGTCCTTTTGGGACTAATTTAGTTCACTCAGCATAATACTCTCAAGTAACTCCCATGTTAGGTAATAATTTAAAATCATTGCTCCTGCATGCTATGTAGTTTTCCATTGTATGAATGTACTTAATTTCTCAATCCATTTGATTGTGGTTGGAGATTTGGCTGTTTCTTGTTCTTGTGATGGTGAGTAATGCTGCTATAAACATTGGTGTACAAGTCTCTGTTTGTGTGTCAGTTATCATTTTCTTGGGGTATATTCCAAGCAGTGGAATAGCTGGGTCACATGGAATTTCTATGTTCAGCTTTCTGAGGAAGCACCAAACTACCTTCCGGAGCCGTTGTACCATTTTACAAGCCCACTAACAATGTATAAAAGTTCCTATTTTGCCACATCCTCTCCATGGTTTATTATTTGCTGTCCTGTTGAACTTTTCCACTGCTACTGGAGTGAGACGGTATCTCATTGTGGTTTTGTTTTGGTTTTTTCCAGTTTGTTGTTGTTGAGTCATTGTTTTTTTTAAATAGTAGTTTACTTAATAAAATTTTAATACAATGATTTTGAGGAGAGATTCTTCTCAACCCCCACCCATCAAATTATACAGCCCCATGATTATTTTGCCCTCTCCCCCTACACATTCTCATCCCTCTGCTTCCAACCTCCTCTCCTCCCCCTTGGATCCTAATACTCGTTCTACAGTAATGGTTTTATACAATATTTGTCCTTGTGGCACTGGGTTAGTTCACTCAGCATAATTCTCTCCAGCCCCTCCCAAGTTAGGTAATAATTTACAAAATCATTGCTCCTGCATGCTGCATAGTATTGCATTGTGTGAATGTACCATAATTTATCAATCCATTTGTTTATGGTTGAATATTTGGGCTGTTTCCATGTTCTTGCAATGGTGAATAATGCTGCTGCGAACACTGGTGTGCAAATGGTTTGAGCATTTCTTCATGTGTGTGTCTGTTAGTCATTCATATATCTTCCTCTGTGAAAATTCTTTCCATGTCTTTTGCCTATTTTGTAATTGGGTTATCAGTCTTTTTCTTATGGAGGCCCAGAGTTTTCTGTAAACTTTTGTTAGAGACTCTTTTCTGAGATGGTATTGCCAAATGTTTGTTCCCAGTTGGTAGGTTTTCTTTTCACCCCATTGGGAAGTTTTTAACGAGCACAGTGATTTAATCTTTAAAAGGTCCTATTCATCAACTTTATCCTTTTCAGATTATGAATTTCTGGCTGTATTTGGCAGTCTCTTTACACCATAGACTAGGCCTTCTAAGTTTGGTCCCAGTTTGCCTCTTATGAACTTTATGGTTTTGGGCTTTATTCCCAAGTTTCTGATCCACCTTGAGTTGCTTTTTGTTTATGGTGTGAGATGTGACTCCTGTTTCAGCTTTTTGCAGGTAGCAGTCCAGTTTTGCCAGCACTATTTGTTAAAGAAGTTGTCATTTCCCAATTTGATAAGTTTTATTTTCTTGTCGAATATCAGTTGACCATAGATAGCTGGGCCCATTTCTGGGCTCTCAGTTCTGTCCCATTGGTATAGACCAATACCTGTCTTTGTACCACTACCATGCTGATCTGGTTACTACTGCTGTGTAGTAGGTTTTGCCAGTCGCCACATGCCCAACATTGTGCTCAGCACTAATCATTAGGTATTCGTTCAGAATTCAGACCTACTTTGTGAACTAAACACTTAATATTGTGGGTTTTGTAGTAAAATATACATAACATTTACTACTTAAACCACTTTAAAGTTTGTTAGAGCAATTTAGTGGGATTTAAGTACATTCACAATGCAATGTAATCACCATATTTATCTAGCTGCAGTACTATTTCAGATGGAAACACTATGCCTATTAGCAGTAATTCCCCATAGTTCTCCTTCTCTTGTTCCTAGCAACCATTAATCGACTTTCTGTCTGTATGGATTTGCCAGCTCCTGATATTTCATTCAAACAGAATCTTATAATATGTGGTCTTTTAGCATCTAGCTTCATGCTCTTAGCACAAGGTTTTCGAGGTTCATGTGCATTGTATTTTTAGGTGAAATTGACATAACATTAAAAAAATCATTCACATTAAATGCAATTCACAATATTCTGAAACTAACACCTCTAAAAAGTTACAAATTATTTTTATCACCCAAAAAGAAAATCCAATACCCATTAAGCAGTCAGTTCTTGTCTCCTCCTATTCTAATCTCTGGTAACTACCAATCTGCTTCTGTCTCTATAGATTTATTTATACTATTTTATCACCTCTACAATGGGCTAAAAAGCAAAATTGTCAATTTAATGACTAAGGTGCAACTGACTCAAGCCATAATCTTTTCAATAGCTTCATAGGCATCTATAAATTGGCTACTGAATAAGGATAACAGAAGAAGCATTAATGTCTTTATACTGTGGTATTGGAGAAGAGTACTAAATAGTCCATGGACTGCCAAAAGAGCAAACAAGTCTGTCTTGGAAAGAAATACAACCAGGGTGCTCCTTAGGGGCAAACATGGTGAAGTGTCATCTCACAAACCTTAGGTATGTTAGCAGGAGGGGCCAGTTCATGGAAAGAGACATCCTACTTGGAAAGGCAGAGTGTCAGAGAAGGAGAGGGTCCTTCAACAAAGTAGATTGACACAGTTACTTCAACAACGGTCTTGAGCATATCAGAGATGGTAAGGACAGGGCAGGATAGGGTAGGGTTTATCTGTTGCTCTTAGGGTGTATATGAATTGTAGTTGGTTCAACAACAGATATGTTTCTACCTTTAGACTATTGTGAATATTATTACTGTGAACACTGGTTGTACAAATTTTTTTTATATAATTTTTATTGATAGATCGCGATTGTTCCTCCTTCTTCAGCAGAGCATCTGGTGGATTTGAACCGCGCACCTCTGGGACTGCAGTACAGTTTCCCGCCACTAGGCCACCAGAGCTCGCCCACAAATTTTTTTAACACTTGTGTTCAGTTCTTTGGGATTTATGCCTAAGAGTGAAATTACTGGGCCATAAGGTTATTAATGTTATGTTTGATCTATTAAGAAATTGTCAAACTGTTTTCCACAGGAGCCACAATATTTTGTATTCTCACCAGCAATGTGTGAGAATTCAAAC